CCGTCCCGGAACCTCCCCGCGCCTTCCAACCTTCCCGCCGGCGTCCCTGCGGCACCTGTCGCCGCCATGGCCTCGTGCTCGGGCGGGAGCACGAGGGCCTCGCTCGCCTGGGCCAACCTCCTCCGATCCGGCCCATCTCCCACCGCCTCGGCCTCCTTCCTCCTCTGCCGGGCCGAGCCTAGGGTGAGCAGTCCCCCAGCGCCCGCCTCTTTTTTTTTTCTTTTTCCCTGCCTGTTGTGGGCTTGCCCCAGTTTCGGCCCGATATGTTTTTTTTCAGGGCCTGCGAATTTGTCTATTATCCTCAGTTTGTCAGTTTTACAGATTAGACCCTCATGTTCATGCATTTAATAACCCATGAACCCTGCATCGGATTAAAATGTTTTATATATGAAACTTGCTCAGAATTTTGTGTAGATTAATAACATCCAACTTTCATCTATGTTTGAAATGTTAAAAATGCTGTTTGCATTAATTTGCTCCTATGACATGCTAAAATGCTTTATTTCATAACTAAATAACCGTAGCTCGGTTTTAAATAAACTTTATATGTAAATGGGGTAGAAAAATGTCTAGTTTAACGTGGTGCACTCATTTTGCATATTAAACAACTCTAAAATTGTGTTTAGGGCAGAACAGGACCTAATCTAAAATATGCATATGGGAGTTTCCGGAATTGTTGTTCGTTGCTTCCGGCCTCATTTAAACTTGACTAGATAGGTAGTTTTACTTTGCTTCACCCTCTTGCCATGTTAACCAACATTTAATATTGTTGAGTACATAAACGAGATCAAACTAAATAACTTGTTGTGGTGTTTCGTCAATATGCAACTCGTTGCATATTGATCTCCACTTAATTTGTAGAACTACTTGTGCACCTTGCCATGCCATGCTTCATTAAACCGGACATGGATCATACTCGTTTGTGCATCATGCCATGTTGATGTGTGGGTTGTTTACTATGTTGTGTGCTTCTTTTCCGGTGTTTGCTTCTTCGGGTTGGTTCCGATAACGTCGAGGTTGTGAGGATCCATTCGTCTACGTCCGTTTGTCTTCTTCATGGACTCGTTCTTCTTCCTTGCGGGATTTCAGGCAAGATGATCATACCCTCGAAATCACTACTATCTTTGCTATGCTAGTTTGCTCGCTCTTATGCTATGCCAATGCTACGATGCCTACCACTTGCTTGTCAGCCACCCAAATTGCCATGTTCAGCCTCTAACCCACCATGTCCTAGCAAACCGTTGATTGGCTATGTTACCGCTTTGCTCAGCCCCTCTTATAGCGTTGTTAGTTGCAGGTGAAGATTGAAGTTTGTTCCTTGTTGGAACATGGAGATGTTGTTCCTTGTTGGAACATGTTTACTTGTTGGGATATCACAATATATCTTACTTAATTAATGCATCTATATACTTGGTAAAGGGTGGAAGGATCGGCCTTATGCCTGGTGTTTTGTTCCACTCTTGCCGCCCTAGTTTCCGTCATATCGGTGTTATGTTCCCGGATTTTGCGTCCCTTACGCGGTTGGGCTATTATGGGAACCCCTTGACAGTTCGCCTTAAGTAAAGCTCTTCCAGCAATGCCCAACATTGGTTTTACCATTCGCCACCTAGCCTCTTTTTCCCTTGGGTTTCGCGGACTCAAGGGTCATCATTATTTTACCCCCCGGGCCAGTGCTCCTCTGAGTGTTGGTCCAACCTGTCAGCTGCCGGTGGCCACCAGGGGCAACTCTGGGTTGGCCTACCCGCACCTAAGACAATCTGAGTGTGCCCTGAGAAAGAGATATGTGCAGCTCCTATCGGGATTTGTCGGCACATTCGGGCGGTGTTGCTGGTTTAGTTTTACCCTGTCGAAATGTCTTGTTGTACCGGGATACCGAGTCTGATCGGAGTGTCTCGGGTGGAGGTCTATTCCTTCGTTGACCGTGAGAGCTTGTGATGGGCTAAGTTGGGACACCCCTGCAGGGATTTGAACTTTCGAAAGCCGTGCCCGCGGTTATGGGCAGATGGGAATTTGTTAACGTCCGGTTGTAGAAAACCCGAAGTTGACCTTAATTAAAATACATCAACCGCGTGTGTAACCATGATGGTCTCTTTCCGGCGGGGTCCGGGAAGTGAACATGGTTGTTGGAGTTATGCCTGACGTAGGTTGTTATAGGATCACTTCTTGATCATACTTTTATCGACCGTGCTTTGCCTTCTCTTCTCGCTCTCATTTGCGTATGTTAGCCACCATATATGCTAGTCGCTTGATGCAGCTCCACCTCATTACTCCATCCTTCCTATAAGCTTAAATAGTCTTGATCTCGCGGGTGTGAGATTGCTGAGTCCTCGTGACTCACCGATACTTCCAAAACCAGTTTGCAGGTGCCTATGTTATCGAGCAGGTGACGCAACCAAGCTCAGGAGGAGCTCGATGAAGATCTTGTCCTTTATGTTGTTTCGTGTTTGTTGATCAGTAGTGGAGCCCAGTTGGGGTCGATCGGGGACCTTTGTCGCATTTGGGGTTCTTCTTTTATTTTGGTTCCGTAGACGGACCTTGATTGTATCTGGATGATGTAATGCTTTATTCATGTAATTGGGTGAAGTGGCGATTGTAAGCCAACTATGTATCTCTTTCCCTTATTGTATTACATGGGTTGTGTGAAGATTACCTCACTTGCGACATATGCCTTCAATGCGATTATGCCTCTAAGTCGTGCCTCGACACGTGGGAGATATAGTCGCATCGAGGGCGTTACAAGCGGTGCTTCATCTCACACATTGATGGCGGCGGATATCGGTGGCATGGTGCTGCGGAGGCTCGGCGTCCGATGCACGGAGATGGACTCGCGCAGGAGGAGGTTGCTGTCCGGCGTCATGGTGACGTCGATGGCAGAGTGGCCAAACAAGGTAGAAGCCTCAATATGATCTGAAGACGGACCTGTGGAAGATGGCGGCGACGACACACGAGTGCGTCTGACCGGATTGTGCCCCAGACCCGGTATGTGGCCCGGCTGGGGCTTCCGAATGAGTTTCGGCTTCCGGCTTTTGATGTTAGGCTTAGGTGAGTGGTTTGGGTAGTGGCCCAACAAGCACCCCTTCATCATTTTGGATAGGAATAGTGGCATATGTTGTTAAGATGGTGGATTCAGGCACATTGTTGTAATACTTTGTAAGGTCCTCGAGAATAATCAATAAAGTGGCCGTATGCATCTTCCTGATGCAGAGGCCGGGGGTCATCCTCCTTTTCTAAAAAAAAATTCTTCTCCCCAAGTTTGCAACTCTGTCCCTCTACCCAATTATAATAGACTTAGACCCTCAACTATGTAGACCAAAATCGATGCCAAACTCATTTTCTAGTCTTTGGGCACCGATGCCCTACATAGCCCAGCCGGAGCCACAAAATAATTTCTGCACATAAGAGCAAATAGGTGCTCCGATGCCAAATTCTTCAAAGCTAGCTCGAAGGGCACTGGTAGCTGAATCAGTGGACTTGTTTATCAATTTCTTTATACAGAGCGATGCCCTACACTGTGGAGCTCGTGCCATAATTTTTTCTTCAGCCATCGGTGATGATGTGGTACCTTTTTGACCAATATGGCAACGATAACATAGTGGAAGACCTTAGAGTATCTCTAGTTGAACCCCTACAAGGGCTTAATTCGTTAAAAGATTTCCTTTTGAGGAGTTAAGCACTTAAGCAACAGCTAGCCAAACTTCTATTTGGTTTAGCTGCTCAAAAATCTGAGGAGAACCCGCCGTCGGCTCTGAAATTTAAGCGGCCGAAAGAAGCTCCCGGCAAAAGATTCCTTTCGAACGGGCGCAAAAGATCACTGCTGAGCTTTTTTTCGTCCAAAACCGAAGTGGCGGACGACCATGATGCAGTAGAGCACTCGCGAGGAGTTATCCAACGCAGGAATCGCGGTCACACCAGCGAAATTCCAAAAACCTGGAGTTCGACGTCGGCGAGCTTGGTCAGCGACCGGCGAGCACGGCTTGGAGGAGAATCTTCCTCCTCCTCGGAGCCTGCAGGCCATCCCCCGATCCACCGTCCACCCGCAGCCTCGGCGTCGCCTCAACGCCGCTGGCGGAAGCACATGTTGTCCTGTATTTCATTTTGTGTCATCTATTCGCACATGTCATGAATGTTGCATTTGTCCATGCAGTTTTTTTGGGTGCAAATTCTTGCAGAAAGTCACTGAGAGGTTGAACAAGCAAGGTGTCATTTATAAACCAATGAAGGCAGAAATTTCTGGCATTGATGTTTATGTGGACGAAAGTGTTGAGAGAGACAAGGGGCGTCTTCCAAAAAAAATCAACCTCGGTAACCTAAGGAAACATTGGATTTATCTGTCGGGAACAGATTAACAGCTTCAACTGCCATGGGCAAGATTCTGTCCCCAGATGCACCAGCTCGTGAGCATCAAGTGCATCGCGAAATGATTATATGTAATTACAACATTCTGGTGCAGTAAGAACTTAACTTATGGATCTCATTAAGTTCATGAGATAGAACCATTGAACATTTCTTATTGGTGCATGAGATCAACATGAAGATTGACCCTCTCTGGGAGCGTCAGAACATTACAGTAGTTTGAATCAGCCGAGAGATCCATTTACACAGGAACCAGTACATTTGTAAATCTATCCCGACTCTGAGAGGGTCTGTGCATATATGGCGAGTGGTTAAATGATCTATAAGATGAAGGTATGATCATTCCCAGCCGAGTATCCTTCAACCCAGGTCTTGTGGATGTGTGTCAGTTCCAAGCCCTCTGGAGTCTCAGGCTGCGAGTTCAGGCAGTTGGGTAGTTCAACATAAACTGTGCGCAAAAGATTCTATACAACCGCACCGTGCGCAAGAATTTAGGGGGAAAGCGGGAATTTACCTTTGTATTCAGCAGAAGAGTGGTCCGGCAGCAATATTGCACACCACCTGAGCGTGACAGAATCAATAACATCGACACACAAGTCAATGAGATAACACAAGGCGAGTAATTGTGGCGCATCCCAAGATTACGGAAAGGGCTCGGTACAATTGAAAAATTATGTCAAGCATCTTTGAACAAACTGATAACTGATGGTGTGGAATAACTTTGTTATGTGAAGAGTTCATCGAGTATACCTTCCATCTCCCAGTTGTCAAACCTCACCAACCAGTTACTTGTACCAATTGGTGATGTAACAAGTCGGTCCACCCATGCTCGGAACTTTTTGCCTTGTTTGTCACCATAGCATGAACTCAGTGCGTCAACGGATGCATGAAGTGACCTCTCCATTCCACAAGGATGAATCAGTGTGCCATTCTGGTGCTATCCAAAATAGACGATTGATCTAAAGTAAGCTCAAGAAACAACCAAAATTTGCTCCTCGGAAATCATAAATGAGATCCAGATCCCAATTCGAACGTGCAGTATTGGGATCAGTAATATTAAAATGTACAAAAGAAATTGCATATTAAAAGACAGAATGGTACGAACAAACATTGAATGGGTTAATCCAAGAGTTCGACAAGGAAATGTACTTACAGTAATGCTTTTCAAGTATTGTATAACTGATGGAGACTTCTGAACCTCACCCCTCCGCCACTTCTCGTAAAGAACATAGAACTTCACCACTACATCTGCAGGCTTGATGGTGTCTACCTTTGGATATGGGAATTCAAGATCTCTTACAGAAAAACTAGGTCCTAGTTTGAAGTGACCGATAGTTTGCATGATACCGGAAGCGCATCTCTCAGTTGCATGAAGCAACTTAGGCTTATCTTTTCCATTCTCTTCATACCACTGAAGAAGCTCCTCTTGGGCATTGCTAACCTGAATATGATTCCAAAACTCTGTAATAAGCCTATATGAGTAATCATCATCACTAATGAACTACACTGAAACCAAGCAACTTATACACTGACCATGACACCATAGGCAGATGGAACACTGAATAAATCTGCATCATTGCCAGAGTCACCACACACAAGAACATTGTTCGGTGATTTTGCGCACGAACTGAACTTCTCGAGTAAATATATAAGAGCTTGCCCTTTCCCTGCGCCTCGTGGCAATACATCTAGGGCTTCTCCGCTACTATAAATTATCTTCACATCTAGCTGATCCCAAAAGGAAAGCAATGAAATCAATAAAACACCTAAGCAATACTCTGATCTTAACAAAGCCCTGTCGAAAAGAAGAACAGAGAAAAAGAAGGTCACCAAGGGTTGCCTTGTCTTACCCCAAGCTGTTCCAGTTTCTGAGGGAGTGAATTAATCACTTCCTGAGCACCCTGCCTGTCAACGGAAAAACTGACCTTATGAGGACCCTGATTCCTCTCTGGCTGCATCGCACGAAGACAAAGTAACACAAATATCTTAGTTCAGCTAGTAATAAAATTTTAAAAAACCCAGGAAAAACTAGACAGGCAACTCATTGGACATGCCTGTGGCTTTAGCTGAGGGAACGTAGCTGTCTCCTGAACAACAATATCCCTATCCCACTTGTTATTCAGAAATTCCTCCCAGCCAACATCAGGAGTCATCTCCTGGCCATATGCTATCACGGTGCCCACAGACATGATGGTGATGTCCGGTGTGAGCAAAGGCTTTCTTTCCCTCAGAGCCTTGTAACTAACCGGCGTTCTTCCAGTCGAGAACACCAGCAGAGAATCCTGGGAGTACTCAGACTCCCAGAGCGCCTCGAAACGGAGCAAGGCCGAGTTCTCCGGATCACAGTGATCAACCTGCAAGTGCACAATCCAAAAAGTCAAACATTGTTCAGACACAGCAGTCCGGGTTTGTTCTTTCTGGACAAACCAAAGGATCGAACTGAGATACCCACCATCGTCTGGTCAAGATCCGAAACGATCATAAGGCGTGCAGAGCCATCTAGCCTGTCCATTCTTCCTTGCGGCGCAGAAGCTGAAGAAGACCCTGCAGAGCAATAGTGCTGCAGAGGCTGCTGAGAAGTTTGATGCGTCTGCCTGGACACTTCTCTGAAACAACAAGCATTTCTCCTGCTTTTATACTATTCCTCGGTCATCTGCTGGTAGGGTCTTTATTTTTTGTAAAAGGAAATAATAGCTCCAGATAAAATTTTAAACTATAGCACACGAGAAACTGTCAGCAGCAGGTAGAGCAAGACAGCGAACCAAGACAAGCACGACAACTATTTCTCCTGCTTTTAAACTAAATAAACTATTTCATCGGTCATCCGTCGGTAAGGTCTGTTTTATTCATATACACGAGAAATAATGGCTACAGATTACTTAAACAACTATGGCAAACAAGAAACGGGCAGCAGCAGCCTAGCAAATAAGAGCAAGACAGGGGACCCAAACATCCACGGTTTATCCACACAAGAAAACAAAGCAAGAGTGTGACTTTACTGGTAAGAACAATTTTCCAGGAGAAATCGTTGTGGATAGAGTGTCCAACCAATCATCTAGCACGGTTGATATCAATCAGATTTGGCGCAGGGAAATGTACAAGTAGAGCGCACTCGACAGAACCATGGGAGTGCGTATGGTCCGCCGGCCAAACACCTTGAATGCATGATGGTTTCGGGGAGGAGGAGGAACGTACAAGGTGGCGAGGGTGGGGCGCGGATGAGTTGTAGGGCAGGCAGGTACAGTAGCCCCTACCTCGCCTGAGCGGCGTGCGGCCGCCGGCCCGGCTCGTCGGGGGAGGAGGAGGAGGGGCCGAGGAGGATGTGAGGCGGCGGGGTGGAGAGATGCGGATGACGACGACCAAGACCGGGAGTGGAGAGCCGAGTACAAGTGGAGTGTGGAATGTGGAATGTGGAATGTGGAATGCAACGAAGCTTCCGTTTGAGCGCTTGTGATGACTTTTGCCGCTTTCTTCGTCGACGAAATCCGCGAGGGAACACCTTTTGACAGAAACAACAAAGGGAGTCTCAGGGCTCTCAACAACAATAGAAAAAGGTTGGAAATCCAATGATATGCTGGGTCAATTTTTTTGAAGGAAAACGGTAGGAAATCTTCACGCCGGCCGCACATATTTTACTATCAGCCAAAAGTGTGTGCTGGAAAAAACAGAAAAACGACAGAGGATACCACAAGTGACCACTGGACAATGGTGCGACTTCTCATTTTGGCTCGATGTACAGCTATGCCCAATTTTTCAGCGATCTTTTCTTAATTGGTTCAAACATTGCGGTATATAGGTTGTTAATTGATTTGCAGCTGATTTTTTTGACTTTGAATCGAACTAGGTGATCGGCTGCTCATTAGCTTGTCGTAAAATCACTACGACAGGACTCTTTTGGCGTTGCACAAAAGCCATTACTTTGCGTTCAGCCAGCACTAAGAAGGCTTGTCCTAGTAGAAATGGTAAAATTAAACAAAGTATTTCCGTTGGAACAGTTATGCACATTTTCAATTTTCTATTCACTCATGATAGGGCCTGACCTGGTCGACCCGATCAAACTATTTCACTTATGATTTGGCCTGGTTGACCCAATCATGATATTGAAGGATGTGGCCTTTTATTCATAAACTTGGATTCCCGAGAAGTTCTGAAGATGGTGTTTCTGTCACGTTACTTCTAATGACATCCTCACTTAACTAAGCATGAGCGAAAACAAGTTTGAATATTTGTTCGGTTTGCGAGAAAGCATAAGTTTTTTTTGCAGGACGAGACATTATAAGTTGGTTATGAACGAATCTCAGAGGTGCTTTCAACCCGGCTCGGCTCAGATGGTTTATTAGGCCTTCTCTAATGTAGTAGCCTAAGTTTATATGCTCCGAAAAAGACAGCTACTACTTGCACATGCCACATCCCACACACAATTGCAAGTGATACTTCGCATGTGCAACTGCATGAACATCAACACATGTTTAAATGTGGCGGTCTAGTTGCACAATAATCATTCGCACGCAATTGCAAGCGTCACAACCCACACATAATTGATGCAGACATTTTTTTTTACATATGTTTTGTCCCCCTCCCCGCCACGCACACAACGCATCCCATGTGCAATTTGTAAGGGTTGTACTAGGAGGAGCGGCTATATCTCGCTTTTTAGCGAGCTAGAGTGAGTGCTCATCTGCAATGGCACCATGGTGGCCCGGCCCACTACCAAGTCAGAACAGTTAGCAAGAGAGCGCTCGCCCACTAACAACATGTTTTCAATGGTTTTTTTAGCATATGTTTTCTTTCTTTTCTTTGTTTTTTCTTACTTATAGTTTTTTTTTAAATAGAAGAGTTAATTGCATATTTTTAAAATGTTCATGTAGTGTAAACAAATGTTCGCGCAACTTTTGGAAAATAATGTTTGTGCCATTTTAAAAGATGTTCACGTATTTCAAAAAACATTGTGACATTTAAAAAATATACAATGTAAAAACAAATGTTTGCCTAATTCCAACAAATATTGTACCACTCAAAAAATGTTCGTGATATTTTAAAAATTTATTCACGAGTTTCATAAATATGTTCATGATAACTTTTTAAAAAATTATGCAATATAAAAAGTTTGAATTAATAAAGACATTTTGTACCATTCAAGAAATGTTCAACCTGTATTTGGAAAAAAAAATTGAAACATACATTTTTTAATGACCATCATGTATTTGAAAAAAAATGTCTATAAGATGTTAAAAAAATCAACGTGTATTTGAAATATGATTAACATGTATTTAAAAGGTACAAAAAATGTATTGGAAGAAAATGTTTATCATGTACATGTTCACCATGTATCAAAACAAACATGTGAATACAGAAAATGTACAACGTGTATTGAAACGGTGGACATGTTTCGAAATAGAGAAAATAACCCAAACAAAAATGATACAAAAACACATAGAAACAAATAAGAAGAAAAATGAAAATACAAACTACCGGACACGAGTTTCACCATGCCGTGAAATGAACAAAGGAAAAAAACAAACAGAAAAAAGAATATATATTGCACAATGAGCGGATGTCGCGTAAAAAGAAAATGATCTACATTGTGTCCTTTTTTCGCAAATGAATCTATCTTGTGTCCTTACTGGAGGAAACTGATACGTCTCCAACGTATCTATAATTTTTTATTGTTTTATTTTATTATAGTATCAATCTTGAATGTTTTATATACATTTATAAGTAATTATATATCATTTTTTGGGACTAACCTATTAACTTAGCGCCTAGTGCGAGTTGCTGTTTTTTGCCTGTTTTTGGTTTTTCGAATATTAGTACCAAACGAAGTCAATAGTTATGCAACGAAGTTATATCCTACTTATGTTGCATTATTCAGTGTTAGTTATGCTCAATGCATGTTTATGACCATTTTTGTTTTTTGGCTGGTCGCTTCTCAATCTATTTGCTAGCCTTCATTTGTACCAAGCGGGAATGTTGCTTGTGCATTCAATTCCTTAAACCCAAAGTTGTGCCGAATGAGTCTAGCATATCTACCTATATGTGGTATTTCCATGTCGTTCCAAGTAAATTTGCATGTGCCAACTGTAATTTTGAAAACAATTTTCCGTTTTGTGTGCCCATACTGCTCATGAAGCGGCAGGGGTGGCCAATATTTTCCATGCTAGGTGGGTTATTCTCATGATGAGTGTTTATTCACTTGTCATTGCATTAGAGAGTGACAGGTAATAGGGATGCCCAGTCCTGAAATGAAAAAAAATATTAATATGGCGATAATAATAAATTTCTTCAAAAGTATTGGTATGGAAGGCACCCGTGGATACGGCTAGCCATGGATTGTGAAACAATTGTGGAAAGAAAATAAACTTTATTTTCTTGGGAACCTCCTATAATGTGTCTAGCATGGAAGATATTGGGAATTCTCGGTCGTTTTCGTTGACTGGAAAAGCATGCATCTCAAAATAACTTTATATCTCTAATTTAAGCCTTGAGCTCTGGCACCTCTGCAAATCTTTGCTTCCCTCAGCGAAGGGCCTATCTATTTACTTTTATGTAATTTTTAGTTTTATTTTGAGTCTACATCTTCTCTTACAAAGCACCAACTAGAGAACACTATTGTTGTAGTTGTGCATTGGGTGTAGTTAATGTTGAGTGTGTTTCATGAATGGATCAATGATTGAGCATAATGGGCTAGGGATAATTTTCTTTAGGTTTGATATTTTGAAAGACATGTTTGCTTGTTAGTATGATTGAGTATTGATGTCTTCATGTCAAATTATAGACTATTGCTTTGAATCATTCAAATCCAAATGTCCATGCTACAAAATAAAAGAGTATATGATGAATATGTTAGGTAGCATTCCACATCAAAAATTCTATTTTTATCATTTACCTACTCGAGGACGAGCAGGAATTAAGCTTGGGGATGTTTGATACATCTTCAACATATCTATAATTTTTTATTGTTCCATGTTATTATAGTATCAATCCTGGATGTTTTTTTATATACTTACAAGCAATTATATATCATTTTTTGGGACTAACCTATTAACTTAGTGCCCAGTGATAGTTGTTATTTTTTTGCCTGTTTTTGGTGTTTCAAAATATCAGTACCAAACAAAGTCCAAATGCCACAAAACTTTTTGGAGATTTTTTTTCTGGACATAAGAGACCTTGGAAGCTTTGGGGTGGACGAGAAGATGGAGCAGTGGCACACGAGGCACCAGGGCGCGCCCTGGTGGCTTGTGGGGCCCATATAGCTCCGTTTGACCTAACTCTGCCTCTATAAATTCTCTAAAATCAGGAAACTAACAGAGGAGTCCACGAAATACTTTTTCCGCCACCGCAAGTTCCTGTTCTCGAGACATCCCATCTGGAGGCCTTCTCCAGCACTTTGCCGGAGGAGGAATAGATCATGGAGGGGCTCTACATCATCCTTGCTGCCCTTCGGATGATGCGTGAATAGTTTACCACAGACCTATGGATCCATAGTTAGTAGCTAGATGACTTCTTCTCTCT